TTATCATGCTGAATGAAAAACATGTCTCATTGGCGTATTAGTAGAATTTGGGAAGTGTCTGGAAATGAGGCTTGGATTTGACTTCTGTGGTCTAGTAGTTAAGGTGTTGGACTGGAATAAGGGTTCATGTGCACCCTCAGCCACTGAAGCTCACTGAGTGACTTATGGCATCCATCAGTCATTCTCTCAGTCCAACGTACCTTGTAGGCTTATTGTGGGGGGGAATTTAGAGGAAGGAAATGATGCATGATGCTTTGAGCTCCTATAAAATTAATTAAAATAAATAAATACAGACAGACAGGTTAATGGTGGTAAGAAAACCAAGCATTTATTCATCTGCATTCACATTTTCCAAAGCATAAATGCCACACAAAATTCCTGCATAGGGTAATGTCTGATCAGTTTGATTTAACTGAGGAAAAAAATTTCGTACTGTTTTCCAGGGCCCACTTGGGCCTCCAGGAAAAGATGGCATCCCTGGTCAAACTGGAGAAAAAGGAGCACCGGTATGTATTTTTCCTTTTCAACGAGGCTCAGGATCACCCGGGTACACACTGAGGAGGACCAGCCAGGGAAACTGGACTTCCTCTGCCATTGCCTACTTTGTCAAGGTATGTTTCAGCACTTCAGTGTAAATTCACTGGTATTTTCCTTTCATTTTTCCAGGGTGAATCAGGTGAAATGGGCTTTACAGGAGCACCTGGACCAAAGGTACAATTACTTATTTTCTAAAGAAATAGTTACTAGTCCCTATGTTGATCCTAGTTTGGTAACATTACAATATTTTAAGTTTTTTAATGTATCTACTAAGTTTTTTGAGTTCAAGTGTGTAAAATTTTTCAATTTTCAATTTCACTGAATCAGGTTCCAATGTTGCTGATTTTACAAATATGTCCATGTAGTTTTCTTGGCAACAGTATGAAACTAGTTTGTCAATCTCTTCTTGGTGGTGGAATAGGTGGGTGGGTGGGTGGAGAGACAGGAATTTCCAGATGATCTTACAGTCTTTATAATGCCTGTTTCATAGGATAGGATTCAACTACTAACTAGGTCAGTGATGGCTAACCTTTTTGTTGTCATGTGCCGAAAGCGCACACCTGCCATGTGCCCACACCCATAATGCAATATGCGCATCATACCCATTCTTGTGTGCCCCGTCCCCCTGCACATGAGCATTTGATCCCTCCGCTCCCACTTCTCCGCGCATGCATGAATGCTCCCTGCGGCCCATTTTGGGCATAGCAGGCCTCCCTGAAGCCTCCTGGGACCAAAAATGGATTGGGGGGGGTACTGCACACACCTCTGCAACCTGTTTTGGGCCTGGCCAGCTTCCCTGAAGCCCCTTGGGACACAAACCAGGCCGCTGCACACTCCCCCCACCCCCCGCATGCACGGGGGACCCCCCTACCCACCCCATGCACGCACGCACATCTCCCACATATGCCCCACCCCCACACAGAGACCTGAAAATCAGCTGGCCAGGGGGAGGCATGTGTGTATGCATGGTGGACCTCGCTGGGGCGACGGCTTGCGTGCCCGCAGAAGGGGCTCCGCGTGTCACCTAGGTTCGCCATCACAGAACTAGGTCATATTCTTAACTTTTCAAGTCAAGGCTGGGTGTTTTACTTTTCTGCCAAGCATTTGTGTTTGTTACGTATAACTGATTTTATCAATCCAATTTCAAAGACATCCCAGGGTTCTATGGAAAAAAACATATTTACAGCTCACACTCCCTTTTAAAGAGCCCAGGGCTTATAAGGCATTGTAAGTGTTCTAATTGCAGGTGCAGGTGATACAATATTGTTTTAGAGATGTCTTTTGTGCTTACAGAGAAATGGGATTTTCTTCCTTCTTAGGCCATGGTAGCAAAACATGTAGTGGAAGTACGTCCCAAGATTGCCATCCAGGAGAATATAATCTTATTTTACAATGTTACATATTATTTAATTTTGTAAAATAATACATATAATAATACATATTTTTAAGAAGATAGTTTCTCTCGCCATGAAAGCAGCTTGGTCTGGTTTTCAAATGTACTAGATTAGGGGACTTCTTCAACCATTGTTAACTTTATAAAACTCTACAGTTTGTTTTTACCCTCTGTGTTGAAGATATGTGCCAGAGAATGGAATTATGCAAAAAAGAAGTATCATAATACATTATTAACCCATAAAAATCTGTATAGGCCACTGTGAGATGTGAACATAATTATCAGCATTTGATATTTTGGCTGAAGTGTCTTCCATTACTGCC